CAGTAACCTAGATAATAAAAGAAAAATTCTTATTAGATTGACTATTCCTTAATCACCGTCAATTATATGGTTTACTAGGTAGAAGGAATGGAATACTGGTGAATATAGTGAGGCTTAAGATAATGCAGTCCAATTATGTATTTTGTTTTTGAAAAGAGTGTCGGTTAACTGAGTACTTTCAGAATATATAAGCTTTGGACACGTTGATAACCAAATATGAGTTGTCTTATATTCATAATCGACATACAAGTTCTTAATAAGGAGTTTGGGAACATAAGTCTATTAAGATCGAGATATATCGTTGTGATTGACATGATAGTCCAAAAAGGTACCGAAGTACGATTTCGGATGGACCTTGGATCACAAGATGTGACATTTGACATTTTTTCCCAGTAGGGGAGAAAATTTTGGAGAATATTATTGAAATTTATATTATATGTATTGATAAATTAGTTTTAAATACATAGGAGTTGGTTTAAACTCCTGATTCAAATGGGAATACTCTATTTTCAAATAGGAGAGCTATTAAAGAACTATCTAATTTCAATTATTTGTGGTTATGGGTAGGAGTTAAGAGATATTTAATTTAAATGATTTTTGGTTCAGAAAACTAATGAAGAAATTTGAGGAAAGTGATGGACGTATATATAGAGTACAAAATTCCAATCTTATTTGAGATTTAGAGGAAGTTCTAATGGGACATTATTTTTATTGAAAACATTTAGGTTCTTAAAAAACTAAGTGGAAGATAAAGCTCCTTTTTTTAGAGAAATTATACTTTGAATTTCAGTTGAGAATTCATTAAAGAGATCTACATGAATCAATTTGTAGGTACCATGTTAAATGGATTTATAGTATTGTGGTAACTCTATAGTTAGATTTGTAACCTAATGGAGTCATCTTGACAATTAGTACTTGAGTTTTAACAGAGTTTAATTCTTGTACAAAATTTCATCGTATGTATAAAGATCACTATGTTTTTATAAAGGTCTGAAAGTAAATTGTAATTGTAATTTTATTGTTGATAATATTATACTACCAAAGCATGAGAAGGAGTGTATTGAGACTATTTTGAAATGGTTGTCATTAATCTTTGAAGCAAATGACATAGGTTTAGCAAATTGTGCATCTTGTGTTAAAAAGATTATTCTAGTCTTCTTACTTTGTTGCAAGAGTTGTATATTATTTAGATTCTAAAATATTTTCAAGGAAAAATTGCAGCAGAGGCCGCAAACTTTTAGAACTTTAGCAAACTTTTCACAAACCTTTAATTTGTTGCAACCGTCACCCCAAACCTTTCGAAATGCTGCAGCGAAGGCCTCTTTGGATGATTTTCATCCAAAAATTTGTTAGTTCACTAAACAATTTGACTTTCACCATATTTTTAATTTTTTTGAAAGGGTAAAATTGTAACTCTCCATTTACTACATTAAAATAAGTGAGAAATTAAATTAAAAAAAGAAAAAAAATCAAAACTGTATATCATCTTCCCCAGCCCCCCCTCTCTCTGTCTCTCTCTCTATCTAGAAATCCCCAGTCGTCTTCTTCATCCACTCCTCTTATATTCCCAACCATCTCGTTGAGCTCCTCTCAGAATTGGACTACAACTTTGTGGGTGTTGGAATTACGTCTGACTTGGACAAACTTCAAAGGGACTACGGATTTGGGTTCAATACGAATGCCATGGATTTAAGGGAGCTCACGGCATATACAGCGTTGAAGAATTTGGGTTTTTACACAAATCTGATATCTTTCTATTGCTGTGCAAGACATCAGATGCCATATCTTTCTATTAAATGTTTGCTGCCATGGAAATTGGGTTTTTACGCAAATCTGAGATTTGCAAAATATAGAGTGTGGCATCTGATATCTTTTCTAATAAATGCTGTGCACTTATATTCTACACAAATTAAGATATGCAAAAAATTAAGAGTGGAAATGGAGGTGGAGGTGGAGGCGGATGTGGAGGTGGCGGTAATTGATTTTTGGTTTGGGTTTGGGTTTGGGTTTGAGGTGGGAGTGGGGGTGGGGTAGGTAGGTGGTGGGAAGAAGAAGACGACTGACTTTTTTTTTTCTTATTTCTTTTTTTTTTTAATTTAATTTCTCACTTATTTAATATAGTAAATGGAGAGTTACTATTTTACCCTTTCAAAACAATTAAAAATATGGTGAAATTCAAATTTTTTAGTCAACTAACAGGCTTTTGGATGAAAACCATCCAAATGGGCCTTCGCTACAACGTTTCGAAAGGTTTGAGGTGACGGTTGCAAAAAATTAAAGATTTGGAAAAAGTCTGCTAATGTTCTAAATGTTTGGGACCTCTGCTACAATTTTTCCTATTTTTAATTGTGAAATTGCTACACTGTTGATACTCCTATATCGAAAGGCGACTATATGAGTCTTTATATATCTCCAAAGACTCAATAAGTACTCAAAGAAATATTCAGAGAATCATATCTAGTACGATTAGGAGTTAGAAGTATGCTATAATGTATACTCGTTCTAACATTTCTCATGACATGGATCTAGTCAGTAGGTATCAACATGATCCTTGGAAATGGTATTATGATACCAGAATGGTGCTACCATATATTTTTCCATTTTGTTGTTGAAGAAATAACTTGTTATTGGAATAGATATGCAAATATCGACTAAGGAAGAGAGTCAATCGAGCATAATTAATAATTAGACTTGTGTACGCTTGCTATATAGAGTAGTATGAAGTATATCTTCTAGCGTATATCTTGGTAGTCAAAGAAAGTTTTTGGTAAAGATATATTGGCCGTCTAATGATACTGGTTGAGAATATGAGACTCATGATAATTATGCCATTATCTCATGTGTTGTGGATTTCCAAGTATCATGGAACCACACATTTGATGGTATTTTTATGAGAGGCATTAGTAAAGAAAGTGTCTTTATGATATATCTACTTAAATGATAGTATGTAATCATCATCCTCTAAAAATGTATAGAGATATACTTGTTGATAATATCGTATCTCTAGAATTGTGTAGAATATGATGCTTAGTGAATTAGAAAACTCTTGATTGAGTTTTGTATGCCCACAGATAAACAATTTTGAGTCATGTGTTATCTAATGTTAGGATTACGAGATATTGATTTGCATGAACGTACATAGTATGTCGAATAGGTTGAGATTAGTTCACTCAAATGAACAATTGATTCAGATACTTTGATGTGTGTTGAGATGAGACAAAGTGATCATGTTGCGTACGTGATCCGATCTCCTTAATGAGATATCAAGATGAGATTATAGCAAGTAATTGAAATAGATTTTTCTATCCATTAAGTCTGTTTATTATCGAGACTGAGTTCTCGATTTGAGATTGTGTGGACGAATAAACATGAACGAGAACTGAAGTTAGGTATCGAAAAATACTTGAACTAAAATCTATTACGCCCTAAGAAAGGGAGAAAACATCATGTGCGAGCGAGAGATGTTGAAAAATCACTACAAGAAAAATGATATTTTACAACTAATGTTTCAAAAACCACATCAATTTGGTCGTTAAAAACTCTTTTCAACAACTAAATTATAAGTTTGGTCGTTGATATTGAATGATGAACAGTATAATTTTAAATTAGTTGAAAATATCTTGCAACAACCACAAAATAAATTTTTAATTCTATATTTTCGACAACCAAATAAAAATTGGTCGTTGTGAGTGGGAGCCAAAATTCAGTGCATATTCAATGAAAACAAAATTGGTTGTTAGAAACACGTATAATATAATAAATATTCAACGATCATAATCTCGTTGTATTCAACGACTATTTATTTAGTGGCCATTAAAGGTGACATGCAACGACCAATTATTTTTAGTTGTTAAAGGTTTATGACAACCTAGTTACCAAACCTAATTTGGCGCCAAAATAGTTTCTAACATTCAACGACTAGTACTACATAGTCATTAAAGGTAACATTCAACAGTTGATTATGTTTAGTCGTTGAAAATTTATGACAATTTGGTTAACAACTCTAATTTGGTGCCGAAATAGTTTTCGACATTCAACAGCTATATTATTGTTTTAATTGTTTAAATTTTTTTAACTAAGGTAATTAACTATAAGCATAATATTTATTGTCAAAAGTATTCAAATAATTTCAAGAGGACTATGTCCTTCTATAACTATATACTTCGGGTGCTCCTTCCTATTTACATAAAAAAATAAAATAAATGAGGTGGGTACTCTGAACCCATCCTATTCTGAACTTAGCTGCACATGTGAACATGGAATAAAATTCTTGACAGTACGGTCCACAGGATGGTCGAGAGTGACACGGAAAATTATCCAAAATACTTCGAGTATTTCGTATATGGAACCATTTTATTACACGTAATTACTAGAACCATACTTGAACTTGAATTGTTCAAATTCAATTCTAAGCAATATATATGATTGAACTATTTAAATGAACAAAAGTGACGTATTTCAAAGAAAGTGAATTGTCCCTAAAAAAATTTGATTATCAATATTAACATGATAAATAGATTAACTTAATGAATTTATTTGTTCTATAATAAATAATCATTAATTTAAAATATTTTTTTAGTGTACAAATAATAATTTAAAATACTTTCCAACAATAATTATAAATTATCACATAAGAAAGTATTATGCTACTTTAATCAAAATCAAATATGCATTTATTAATAATTTAATCAAATTAAATAATAAAAATAATTATATATTAATTTCAAACAATTTTCCCTCCTAAAAATTTCAATCCCGCTTGAAAATTTCACAACATTCTGAATTTCTTTTTGTTTTGTTTTTCATTTTTTTAAACTTTTCCCTCTATTTTGCTTTGCTTTCATCTTTTGCTTCTTTACATCAATTCCTCTTCTTTGGTACTACGAAATAAAATCAAACCCTAGACCGTCCATTCTCCTTACCTCTATTTCTCCTCTCTCACAGCAGCTATTAATCCTAATCCACTCAACCTCTTCATTTTTCCTTTCTTTGGTATGTATCTTAGATGTCTTGTGAAATTGAAAAGAAGATGGGTGATGTTGAAGGTATTTTCTTGTTTAATTTGCAATTTATCGATTTCTTTTTTAATTGAAAATCTTGCTCTGTGGTTCCATGCTTTTTCATCTCCATTTAAATGGAGCCTTTAGTCTCAATGGTAGCTGGTAGTTGTCCTTGCAGACATATGCAGGTGATTTTCAGTATGTTGAAGGCTACTAAAGGTTTGGACGAGGATACAATTCCTGTTGATTTTGGCCTGTGTGAGGTTAATTGATTTCTCATATTCGTTATCAGTATAAATTTGTGTAATTTACTAATCGATTTCTTTTTTAATTGAAAATCTGGCTCTTGAGTTCCCTACTTTTTCATCTCCATTAAAATTGTGTCTTTAGTCTCAATGGTAGCAGGTTGTTGCCTCTACAGACGGATGCTGATGATTGCCTCCATTTCATTTAGACAAGGTCGTTTAAGTTTGAAGTCGATTCAGGTACAATCACCCCAAGAAAAGGGCTGAGGTATTATTGTATTTTTAGCAATGGCCTTGTTAGTTTTTTATTCTAATTTTTGTTGGAAATTTACTTAATCATGCACGGCAGAAAATAAAACAAATTTTAATTTTCATCAAGGATTTGCTTTGTGTTTAGATAGAAATTGTACCTTTATTTAATTCTGCAAACTTCTATGCTATTCTTTTGTTCCAAAAATCTTGATTTGTCACTCACAACTGTTTAATTATTCAGCCTCCAATAGAATTTCACTCTAGGAATGAGATTAAGAGAGAACCACGGTTTACTTTTCTTGTGCTAGCAAAAAGAATGAAAACTCTATAGTTTTCTAACTCTAGCTGCTTATTTATATAAGCCCAAACGGGCTTGGCCCATCTACTAACCCGTTCCAATGTTTGATTAATTCATTTAATTAAATCCGATCCATGAATTAATTAATCCAATTAATTATTTCGGGTCTATTAATAAACAACACAATTAATTAATTTATCCAACACTTGTTAAATTAATTAATTGGTAAATCTCAATCTTCTCGTTTTTCTTTTGTATGTGACCCATTAGATTCCAAATCACGATGTCTAATAACGTGAATTATTATTTCGATCTAATCAAAATTGATAATTTAAAACACCCCTTTCAATTTATCACAAATTTACATTCATCGTCTCAGATTGACTTCTAGCGATGTTTCGGGGCAATAAATGTTACAGAAAATGTCACGTGGTATGACAAAACCAAATTTGTTCGTTTACCGTAAAACTATAATCCCTTCGTCAATATGATCCGATCAATTACGAGATATAAATAAGTGTCAATCTCAATTATCGATCATATATTTCATTCCACTATTAAGTCAATACAAGACGAAAATTCATTTTCGACTTATAAGTATGTCTTGACCAAGGATTTCATTATCAACTTAACTGAATGAATGTAGATCATAATCTTTTACTATCTTAAAGTGATGAATCCTCTATTGGTCATTCACAACTTTTATACGATTATTGACATACTCGAACGATGCTGTATTAGGGGTCCTTGGTAGATCAACATCCAACATTGGTAAAGTATGACTGCCCTAATGTAAGACACTGTGATAATCTCAAGTCAAAAGACCAATTTCACTACTGAACATTAAAGATTAACCATTAACTCTCGGATAATTATTCATGTGGAATTTCCCAACGGGTCTCCAATATTTTGTTCTCGACGGGTGCCAATTTCGAGCCCAAAATCCACTGTTTTTCTTTTCGAAATTCAATTTTTAGTTATTTTTTACTATTTATGGTAATTTTTCGTTTCCCTTTTTCTAGATGTTAGAGAATTCAGATTGACCCAAAATTTTGGCAACTTAATTCTTTTATTTCATATTTTATTTTGGTGTGATTGTTAGGATTTTACTATTTTTGATAATTTTTCGATAATTTCATATTTTTGCAACTATTTAACTCGACTTGTGGTTAATTTTCGTCATTCTTGATTATTAATAATATTAAGTGAAGTTTTCAGAGAATTCTCTCTGTTTTTGGCATTTCTTTCTTCTTCTCTCTTGCTAATCGTCTGTTGCAACTAACCTCTAGGATAATCACTATTTTACTTGACGTCAGTTGGTATCAGAGCGTCAATATTTTCCTACGGTGAAATTTTCGTCAGTTACAATGGTTGGTGGACATGGTCGTGGTCGTCGAGGATAGGTTCCGATTTAGAAAGTCCTACACCGTGATCGTAATGTTCAGTATGTGACGATTGAAGATTTGCAGAGACAAGTTGTGGAGTTAACCCAACGTTTGGCGGAACAGGAGTTCGGTAATCATGATGTAGAAGGTCACGATTTCGATACCAGTTTCGAAAACCCGTATCACAATCGTGCTCGAGTCTAGGAGCATCATGGACGAAAGAATCGCCATGTAGACCTCGATTTCAGAGTAGATCTGCCAGAATTTGCTGGTACGTTACAGGCTGAAGGTTTTATTGATTGGCTGAATGAAGTGAAACAAATTTTTGAGTATAAGGAGGTTCCCAAATCGTGTCAAGGTAAAATTGGTCGCCATCAGACTTAAGGAAAGAACTTCATCATGGTGGGAACAATTGAGGCGTTCGCAAGAGCGGCAAGGCAAGTCTAAGATCATTGATTGGGGAAAGATGAAGACAAAGATGAAAGGGCACTTTCTTCCTTTCGGCTACACTTAGTCTTTATTTCAACGGCTCCATTCACTAAGGCAAGGTACGAGATCTGTTGATGATTATATGGAGGAGTTCTATCAATTCGTAGCTCGGAATGATTTATCTCAAACAGAAGAACAGATGGTTGCACGGTATGTGAGAGGATTAAGGCAGCCCCTGTAGGATGTTCTAAGCCTTCATTCATTGTGGACAATGTCTGAAGCATACAAGCATGCACTTGCCGTGGAAAGGTAGCAAAATAGGAAGCCAGTGGTCAGAAGTGAAAGTAGTCAGCCAGTTTAACCTCAAGCATGTCGTCCTACCTATCAACCCTTGTGGGACAATCCTAACTCAAGCATTAAGTGCTTTAGATGTGATGAACAGGGACATAGGGCCACTGGTTGCAGGAAGCCAGCTGGTCAAAAGAATAAAAATCTTCTGATTGAAGAGGATATGATAGAGGATATCGAGGAGGTTGGAGAGCCTGTATATGATGAAGGTGAAGATAAAGATGTGCTGTATGGAGATGGCCAGGAGACTCTAGTCGTTCGCAAGAGTTTGCTAACTCCCAAGGGCGATTCAGGGTACGATTGGTTGAGGACCAATGTTTTCCACACAATCTATACAGTTGTCGATAAAGTTTGCAAGTTAATCATTGATAGTAGTAGTTGTGAGAATGTAGTGTCTGAAGAGGCTATCCAAAAACTATAGTTGAAGACAGATCATCATCCCAAGCCATACAAATTATCGTGGTTGAATAAAGGCAGTGAGGTAATAGTAGAGAAATGGTATCTAGTGTCTTTTTCGATTGGAAAAAAATATTTTGATAATGTTTGGTGTGATGTGGCATCTATGGATGCGTGTCATGTATTGTTGGGACGACCTTGGCAGTATGATCATAGTGTTATTTGTGATGGAAGGAAAAATACTTATTCCCTTGGCATCAAAGGGAAGAAAATTGTTTTGGCACCTAGTAGGGAAGAAACCACCCCTGTCCCAGTAATTAATAACAACAACTTCATTTCTACGTCCAAATTATTAGTAGAGGTTGGGAATGGAGAAGTGATATATACTCTACTGCCCCGTGAGAACAGTGAAGTGAAGGAGGACTCAAATTTACAAGCAGAAGTGCAGCAGCTGTTAATGGAGTTTTCTGACTTGACGCCAGAGGATCTTCCTTCGGGGTTGCCACCTATGAGGCATATTCAACATCAGATCGACCTTATTCTGGGGTCGAGTCTGCCAAACCGACCAGCATATCGTCTCAGTCCCAAGAAGCTGAAGAGTTGCAACGACAGGTTGTAAAATTATTGGAGAGGGGATACATTCGTGAGAGTATCAGCCCATGTACAATTCTTCCTCTACTAGTACTGAAGAAGGATGGGTCGTAGCGGATGTGTGTTGACAACAGAGCAATTAACAGGATTACAGTGAAGTACATGTTTCCAATTCCTCGTCTAGATGACATGTTAGATCGGTTGTCCGGTTCTAAGTTCTGCTCAAAAATTCACCTTAAAAGCGGATACCATCAAATCAGAATCAAATCTGGAGATGCGTGGAAGATGGCGTTTAAGACACAACATGGATTGTATGAGTGGATGGTCATGCCCTTTGGACTATCCAACGCGTCCAGTACTTTTATGAGATTTATGCATCAAGTTTTACGACCTTTCATGGAGAAGTTTGTGGCAGTGTACTTTGACGACATACTTATTTATAGTCCGACGTGAGAGTCACATTTTGATCATCTTCGTGCTATTTTTGATGCAATGAGGATGGAACGCTTATTCATCAATAAGAATAAGTGTTCTTTCTTCACAACTTCTGTAACTTTTTTGGGTTTTGTTGTGTCTATTGATGGTGTTCATGCAGATCAATCCAAAATTGTGATAGTTTTGAATTGGCCCAAGCTAAAAAGTTTGCACAATGTTCAAAGTTTCCATGGATTGGCATCTTTCTACCATTGGTTCATCAGAAATTTCAGCACTCTGATTGCTCCTATCATAGAGTGCCTTAAAGGGCGTGATTTTCAGTGGACTGAGAAGGCAGAGGCCAGCTTTCAATTGGTTAAGCAAAAGATGACAGAGGCCTCAGTCTTGGCATTTCTGAATTTTGAGAAAGTGTTCGAGGTAAACTGTGATGCGTCTGGAGTTTCCATTGGTGGTATTCTAAGTCAAGAAGGACATCCAGTAGCATTTTTCAGTGAGAAGTTGTCAGGATCAAAAAAAAAAATATTCGACCTATGATCTGGAGTTCTATGCCATAGTTCAGACTTTGAAGCATTGGCGCCATTACCTTGTACAGAGGGAGTTCATCCTTGTTACTGATCATAAGGCCTTGAAGTACATCAATGGTCAGTACAAGCTGAGTTGGCAACATGCAAAGTGGGTGGCGTACTTGCTGGAGTTTACATTTACGATAAGACATCAAGCAGGGAGTTTGAATCGAGTAGCAGACGCATTGAGCCGTCACATATTACTCCTCACCACCACGAGCACCAGAGTTATTGGCTTTCAAGCATTTCCTGATATGTATGCTGCAGATCCTTCATTTGGGAAGATAACTCAGAAGGTGACTGATAATCACCGACACGATTTTATTTTGCATAATGGTTATCTGTTTCGTGGATTGCAGTGGTGCATTCTAGACTGTTCACTAAGGTAGCAGATCATTAGTGAACTTCATAATGAGGGACATTTTGGGCGAGATAAGATATTGACGTTGGTCTCTTCTAATTATTATTGGTCCAAATTGAGCAGTGACATAGTGCATTATGTGGAATGGTGTTATATATGTCAGAAGTCCAAAGGAGCTCTTACTAATGCTGGACTATAACGCCATTACCTGCACCCGAGGCTCCTTGGTTTGATATGAACATGGATTTTATATTCGGCTTACCTTGTACACAACGGGCGATGGATTCCATTCTTGTTGTGGTTGACCGGTTTTCAAAGATGGCTCATTTTGTGGCTTACCGAAAGATGATGGATGCTACTCGAATTGCCCATCTTTATTTCAAAGAAATTGTGCGTCTACATGGTGTTCCCTAATCAATCACTGGGGACGAAGTTGAATTTTAGTAGCGTCTACCACCCCCAAACAGATGGTCAGATAGAGGTGGTAAATTCGAGTTTGGGAAATCTTTTGAGAAGTTTAGCAGGGACTAAATCGAAACAGTTGGATTTGGCATTGCCTTAGGCAGAATTTGCCTATAATCGATCGAAGAACAGAACCACAGGATTGAGCCCATTTGAGGTTGTCTATGGTCGTAAACCATCTTGATTACTTGACTTAACTCTTATCCCACGTGTGGGACGTTTCAATCACAAGGCTGATGAGATGGCAGAACATCTTCGGGGTATCCATGAACAGGTGAAGTTGTCCATTCAGAGAGTAATTCCAAGTACAAGGCTTAGGCAGATAGTCATCGTCGTCAGGTACTCTTTGATGTTGGTGATTTTGTGTGGGCAGTATTAACACGTGACCGTTTTCCAGCTAGGGTGTATAATAAGCTTAAGGAGCGAAAGATTGGACAGTGTGAAGTGCTCTAGAAGATCAATGATAACGCTTACAGGTTGCATCTTCCCAGCCATTTGAAGACTTCCGATGTCTTCAATGTGAAACATCTAAGTCCCTGTTTTGTGGAGTCTGATGAAGCTAATGTTAACTCGAGGGCGAGTTCTTTCCAACCTGAGTCTAGTGATGCTGATCTGTCAGATAGCTCAATGATGGCGCTGAGATACCATGAGATGGCGGATAGGGGCAAAGATAGAAAATAAATGCAATCTTTCCTTAATTGGGGTAATTTTGACACGTTTTTGGTAATTTGACCATAACTTTGGCTACGGTTATCAGAATCGCTATTATGACCCCAATCCGGAAAGCTCTTTTCGGCGCACGTCGTGGTCACCAAGCATAGCTTGATGGGCATCAACTTCGAGTCCAAAATCCACTGTTTTTCTTTCCGAAATTCAATTTTTAGTTATTTTTTACTATTTATGGTAATATTTTGTTTTCCTTTTTCTAGATGTTAGAGAATTCGGATTGAGCCAAATTTTTTGCAACTTACTTCTTTTATTTCATATTTTATTTTGTTATGATCGTTAGGATTTTGCTATTTTTGGCAATTTTTAGATAATTTCGTATTTTTGCGGCTATTTAACTTGGCTTGTGGGTTTATTTTCGTCATTCTTGATTATTGATAATATTGAGTGAAGTTTTAAGAGAATTCTCTCTGTTTTTGGCGTTTCTTTCTTCTTCTTTCTTGCGAATCATTTGTTGCAACTAGCCTATAGGATAATTGCTATCCTACCCGGCGTTAGAAATCAATATCAAGAAACAAAAAAGAAGAAATAATAAATTGATAAATTTCAATGGAACTCCATTTGGGAGATATTTTAAGTGCTCAGTTTGATAGCTATCTTCCATGAAGGCAACTCTATATATCAGACTAAAGACCGAGTCCAAATTGACCCACAAAAGGTTCCATAAAAGGCAAGGGACAAGGCACCACAAAGATAGCAAGCAGTTGACTAAGGAGGGGGAGAAAGGTGGCAGTTTTAAGAGTAAAAAGAAAGTAGCCACCAACTACAAGAATAGCCAAGAATACCCACAGAAGAGAGGTAGTCGTGAAGTGCAATGAAGGGTCAGCCATGTGTCTTGGATGTATTAAGGCAAAAAAATACAACCATTAAATAATAATCCAACTAGGTTATTACATGGAAAGTGGGCCGAATAGATTAAATCACTGAACAATTGGATCAAGCCTCTTAATACCTCAAAGTGATTTAATTAAGGAAATAAAATTATTAAATCAAGTATTAAGTATGGACAATTCAAAAATTAGGTTTTAAGTTTAAAAATGAGTAAATCTGCTATTAGCTAATTAATTAAAAATATTTACTAATTAAATATAATAAGGTCACAGTTATATAATTATTGGTCACACGTACATAATTATAGATCACGACTTATTTATTGGTCACATATTGTCAAATTAATTGGTTATAGATTATTTCGAGGTTACAAATCAAAACTTTTGTAGGTCACATTTTATTTCATTGATCACAAATAAAAAAACTATAGGTCACAATTCTATCGATCACATATTTTCAAATTTGTTGGTCACCGATTATTTTTTTATTCACAAATTATTGAATTTTAAGTTAGTCACAAAGAACCAAATAATTGGTCATATATACCCAAGCACCCAATCTCGATCCACCACCAATATTTGGTCATAAATTCATCAAATAATTGGTCATAGACACTCTTCGTCCCATCCCGTCCCTGCCCTCGCCACCTCTACCTCTACCGTCACAATTGCCACCAACAATAATAATAACACAATACCACTGCCACCAACATCACCACCACTACAATACCTTGAAAACTTTAGAATAAAAAAGTATTTGTTTTATATGATATATTTTTGTTTTAAAAAAAAACTGAGGAATGAAATGAAATATGTTTTAAATTCATATTTTTTTACGTCAAATATTTAAATTTTAACAGGACTAGTATAAGTATATTAACATTGGGCTCGTTGAGTAGCTCATAATTAATTATGCATATTAGGCTCGAGAAAAACTCGATCGAATAAGCGAATTCTAAGTTATTGCACTTTAGAGAAGTTGTTATTAATAAGTTTTTTTCATTAAGCTTATTATTATTATTATTATTATTATTATTATTATTATTATTATTTTAGTCAAAAGGGATAGAGATGGCCACGTATACTAGTTGAAATGGAAGAGTATTTTTCTTACATGGCTATGACTTGATTGATGGAGAGATAAAGTAGCTTCATTTTTTCTATTTCTTGAAGTTTGAAATGATTTATTATATAATATATTCCGAGGACAAATTTCTTGGCATGATACATGCAATCGTGATCTTTGTAATATCAATGAGTCAACTGTCTTAGAATTAGAATTGAATAAATTGCCTAATCTTTAGGCATGTGAATGAGTGAAAAGGGCAATTAGCAATTTTAGCCATTTTTATGGGAAAACATGTAGATTACAATATAAATATTATGGATTATTTTGAGTAGAACACGGATATAGTCATGGCTAGAACTAGAGAGACCGCTAGGAAGACAACGACTTGTAGGGCTATTATAAACCATAGGGAAATAGTTATCCAACCCTACGAAAATTATGAAAAAGATCCAACCCACACACTTATTGAACATGTAGCGGAAGTCTTCGCTAGATGGGATTAAGCAAGAGGGGTAGGACATGAAATTACACCCCTCCAAGCTGTTAACAACCTTATCCATACACTACCACCTCAGTGAGGAGACATGGGCATTTTGGTTAGGGACGAAATACTAGAGGGTAACGATCCAGAGCACCCAGAAAGAATCGAGTTCGAGCTATATTGTGAAACTTTCCTAGATAGGTGGATTTCTACTCTCGGGCCCAAACCCGATCCAGAAGAGGACCCGAATTATGAATCTATGTCTGAGCCAGAGAACGAGCATGACTACGTATTAGGACCAGAACTAAAACTAGAACTAGAACCCGAGTATGAGCATGAGCTAGGGCTCGAACTAGAACCTGAGCTAGAGGTTGACCAGGAATTCGAGCTTGAGTCATGTATATCTGAGGATGATGAAGCCTCTTCATCTAAGCTTCGTAGGATTCAAAATGGTTGGACAAGCGAAGATGAAGACTAGTAACCTAGAGATAGTTTAGTTTGAATAAATAATTCCATCCGATAAAAATAAATAAAAATTGCGGGATGTAATCAACATTTGGAATAATCCATAGGTTTTTCTTCATTGTTCATGATTTAATCTTTCAATTGTTCCTCATGTATTTAAGGATTTAAAATTTTATGAAACTGAGTTGTTCATTCAAATATATTGAGATGTTTTTGATTATTTTTAAAATGAAATTTATTTGGTTGATTTAAAGGAAATGACACGTCGACCAGCACAAACTGCTATGTTTAAGGATTTGTTGAGAGCTATGCAAAATCTTGGTATGTAGCAAGCACAAGCGCCTTCTCAGAATGTACAGACTAACTCCAACACCACGAGCTTGGTCGTGGAACAATTTCGTCGTTATTAGCCCTCTACTTTTAACAGGATGGCTGGTCCTTTGGTAGTCGAGGAATGGATAAGGGGTTTGTAATGGATCTTCAAGCATCTCGGCTACATTGATGCCCAAAAGGTTTTATGTGCGGAGTTCATGCTAGTTGATGTAGCGAGCGATTGATGGGAGTCCGTTTCCAGCACTAGGACTGAGGCACAACAAAGCAACCTTACTTGGGCATGTTTCAAAGATGAGACGATGGGAAAATATTTTCTACAAGCTTTGAGAGATCGTAAGGAAATGAAATTTCCGCAACTTAAGCAAGGAAGGATGGCATTGAATCAATTCAAGAAAACACTGAAAAGGGCAATCAGCGATTTTAGCCATTTTTATGGGAAAACATGTAGAATACAAAAAAAAATATTATGGATTATTTTGAGTAGAACACAGATATAGTCACGACAAGAGAGAAAGAATTTGGAGAAGTGAATTTCTTATTTTCTGCCAACTATTATTTCATCAATCAATGTAGGATACTATGTGCAAGTTGATCCGTCCTCGCAATATTATAATTTTTTTAACACAATTTATTTCATGAAATGATAATTGACCTGTGGGTCTTAAAGAAATGAAATGTGAGATCTCCTTCAGATTTTCTAAATTGTTTGCACAAAAATGTGTTAGACCATTCAATTGATCTCCGACCACTCTAGACGAAATGCTGGTATGAAATGACGGAAATTCATGTTTAAAAAGGTTATTATATTGTTTTGAATGTGCGTATTCTACTAAGTTTAAATTACTCATTCCTTCAAATTTTAACATTTCAGGTTAAATCGACCAAACGTGGATGGTGGTTAAGCAGTGTGCGGGTTGCCAAGTAAAAATTTTCTAGAAAACATTCAACAATAAATATGTTAGGATATCTTGTGTTTTCCCTTATTTTCGTTAAATGTTCTTAATTTCGTGACACTGCGTTTATTTAATTTAGTATATTAATGTTTAATAAATTAAGGGTTAAAATTTTCAATTAAATATCTTCGCATCAAGTATGTTTATGAAATGATATTGGTAACACCTCAAAATTTAATTCAATAAAGTTTGGAGCATTACAACCACGACCACCATCACTCAGATCTGAACCCACACCACCACCACCATCATCTAGCCACTGCTACAGTTGCCACCGCAAAACCAACACCAACTCACCATGCCCTGATTATGCCCAAAGATTAACGCAGTGATTGTAGTATAGCTTTGGGGTATTGTATCCACAGGGAGATGAAAAATTATTTAAAGGATAAAAAACTTAGGGTTTTGTGGTGATTTGTGTGAAAATAATTTGTCGATTGGAATAAATTGAAGCAAAAGTTTAATATCAATATATGGAATAGTAAAGCGCCGAATTCCCTCGATTAGATTGGTTCAATCAATGTCAATTTTTGCATGAAAATAATCAATTAAAGGTATTCATCCTGACATTTTAATTGGAAAATTTAACCTTCAAACCTATTCAATTCCACAATAATTCCTCAAACCTAGATTTCTTTCATAATATAATTCCATAATAATCCATTGAAATTAGATCCAAAAGCGATTAAATACATCAAGCATATAATGGTAAAGAATCATACTAATAGGAGATTTAAGATTGAAATTCAAGTTGTCATTCAAGTCTTTTGAGGGATCAATTTTGAAACTGAAAAAACTTTCAAGTAAGAAACCTTTAATGAGCATGGATTGTGTCATGTAAAGTTCTTCAAGCTTTTCCAAAGATTTTAGTGGAATCATGTTTACCAACTTTTCGCAAAATGGAGTCGAGTAAGTGCAAGATAATAGAGGTAAAAACAAGTTTGTCAAATTATTTTTTCTTGACCTACAATCACAATCCCAGAAAAGGTATTACCAATGGCTTTAGATACTTTTCCAAATTCTATTAGTCACCGTACACGATGGTCTACTATTACAGAAATTTAAAGAATATCAACCAATTTACTAGAGTGAACCTATATTTGGTCCGTACAAAAACGAGAGATGCAAATTTTAATTAAGGATTCAAGTCCTTATTGTAAAATTTGCAGCAAAAAATCGCAGCAATACACATCCCAAGTCACGAAAAAAAGTTATGGGTTCAATTTGAAATCATACAGAGGTAGCCACGCCTCAGCTACAATCACAGGAGCTAAAATTATGCCGTGATACTAGTTTTGGAATAAATTTAACCTTCAATTGATAAACCAATCACAAAGTTAGGCAAAAACAATTGATGAATAACAAATAAACACTATAAATTAAGCAAGAAATCAAATTCTCTTACAAAATGGAAATGGGACCCAAAGATGGATTATACAGGGCCATATCAAGACTTAAATCACAAGACGACTCTAATACCAAACTGTCCCAAGGGATCTTGTGCCATAACCATGAAGGAATCACTAAAATGAGGTTGCAAAATAGAGGCAGAGAAGTGATCTTAACAGGCAACAATAGGGGGTGAACAAGAGGCGCAAACAAGGATAGTCAAAGGGAAAAAATAAAGGATAGAGATATACTCTAGCAAGGAGAACAATAACCGCTCACAGAGAATGAAAGAGGGCAGCCAAAGGTTGAGGACTAAGAGCACGAAGGAAGCAGTAGCTATTCTCTCAAAAGGGAGGGGGGGTAAAGGAAAAGTTGTGTGTTGTGTATGCACAAAACCGAGGAGGGGTAATATAAATAGGTGCCATAAGAAATAGGTTAAGTAATAACCATGTGGATTGGACCTTGCACATATAAATTATCTACATACATAAGAGCCTTGGCTTGTCTGCAATTGCCAATTATGAGTGGGCCGTTTATTAATAAGAGATTCAATAACGAGCTTCTGATGAAGCCTATGAATATTAATTTGACCCGAATAATCATCATAGCTAGGGTTATTTGGTATCAAAATACCCAACACTCCATACATGGACCCTAGGGAATTGGCCAATTTTTCCTCATAAGTATTTATTGTGAATTCTTCCTCTATACAGAGACGTTGGCCCAATTCATTGATTGAAAGATATTTTTGTAAGTGTTATGCCCTAGATCCAATCGATTTAGGTTGTAAACGCTTTTAATATATTTAATGCATTTGATTTTGGGGAGATCTATTATTTATTTAAATTAATTTTGTAATAAATAATATTAAATAATAGAATCCAAAGATCCAATTTTTAGGTAATCTGTTAATCACAAGGAGTTGTGATTGTGAGATACAAATTACATATAATTGGATCTTAAATAAATCATGGTCGTAAGTAATAACGAGATACGAATATTGTTAATACAGTTAGACCATCACGTGTGGCATTTCTTACTTGTGAAGTAAGTAGCTGATCTCACGAGCTAAAGTGTGGTGACACTTAAGTGAACACGTGGATGTTTTGTTATAGAACAAAATATTGGAGACCCGCTAAGAGATTCCACATGGATAACTATCTGAGTGTCAGTGGCTAATCTCTAACGTTCGGTAGTGGAATTGGTCCCTCGACTTGAGGTCGTCATGATACCTTATATGAGGACAGTCATACTTTGGCGGTGTTGGATGTTGCTCTGAAAGGGGCCGCTAATACGACATCGTTCGGGTACGTCAAGAATCGTATGAAGGTTGTGATTGATCAATAAAGGATTCGTCACTCTTAGATAGTAGGAGATTATGATCTGCGTTTCATTCAATTAAGTCAATGATGAAATCCTTGGCCAAGGTGTACTCATAAGTCGAAAAGGAGTTTTCGATTTATATTGACTAAATAGTGGAGTGAAAGATATGATCAATGATTGAGATTGACACAATTCCATATCTCGTAATTGATCGGATCGTATTGACGAAGGGATAATAGTTCCACGGTAAACGAACGAATTTGGTTTTGTCATACCACATGACATTTTCCGTCACATGTATTGCCCTGACACATTGCTAGATGTCAATCAGGGACGGCGAATGTGAATTGACGATAAATTAAAAGGGTGTATTAATTTATCAGTTTTGATTAGATCAAAATAATATTTCACGACGTTAGGCATCGTGGTCGGGAACCTAATGGGTCGCACACAAAAGAGAATTGGAAGATTGCAAATTGTCAATTGGTTAATTTAACAATCGTTGGATAAATTAATTAATTGAATTTGTTATTTATAATTCTGAATTAATTAATTGGATTAATTAATTCACGAACCGGGTTTAATTAATTGGATTAATTAAATATTGGACTGGACCGGGCCGGGTCCGTTTGGATTTATATATAAATGCAGCTAGGGTTTGAGGTCTATAAGGGTATTCATTATTCTTGCTAGCACAAGAAAGAAACCCTAGCAGTTGCAGTCTACTCTTTGTGTGGATTTCATTGGAGGCTGGACAATTGGACAGCTGTGGGAGGCAGATTCAAACTGCTGGAAAGGAATAACGCGAAGGAGTTTGCAAATCACAAGTAAAGGTATATTTCTTATCACAGTTTTTATCTAAATACAAAGCTGAATCCTGAATGGGAATTGAAATTTGTTAAATTTCGCTGTGCATGTTTAAGTAAATTCCCAACAATTTTCTTATCTTTAAGATATTTCTTGTAATCTTTCCAAAAGAATGGAAGTTTGTTAGTTATAGAGGACACAACAATAGATTCATTTATATTCGTGTTGCATTGCCAAAAATTGATTATTGATGTGGATTATCTTATGAAAAATATCGACTACCTTTCTGTTGTTCACCATACAGTACATAAAATATTTAGAGGTCACGAATTTCTTACTTGTCTCATCTTCTGATATATTCTTAGCCTCCAATGCATCTCATATCTTCTTAGAGATTTTCTATATTGATCGTAAAGAGTATCAAACATTGCTTTCTAAATGTGACCATTGCAAATATAATTATCTTGATCCTATTTTTGTCTAGCTCATGTATTCGCCAATGGTTTGTTTTTAAATTCTTCCAACTTTGGAGATTTAGACATATATACCCATTTAAATTTGTGAGAAAGAAGTGACGTTTATCTTATTGTGCCAACGCCTCAAGTTCGCACTGTCAAACATTTCCAATTTCATGATGTCATTTGTAAAATCTTTTAGAGATGACATAGGAATAGTTATAAAAAAATCTTCTAAATTATTGTCTTGCGATTTTTGGTAAATAAATTCTTGAAATGACTCAAACTATACAACTCCACAGCAAGGCAACACTTTCTTTAAGATAATATTTGTCCTTCACTGAATAAGTGTACAAGGGATCCAAATATACCTCTAGGATACAATGGAATAATATATAGTGTTTGTTAAATGTATGCATTTAACAAAAAATCAAAAAAAGAAATATATAAAATTTTATGGATGCATATCTAATTTGGTTATGCAATTTACAAGATCACAAAACAAGATATATGAAATGAAATCAGTGAAAAGAGTGCATGGTTAGTAAAGGAGAACAAGAGAAAGTTTGAAAATAATTCAATTCATTCTAAGATACTATTAATCTATCTGTAGATTTGTTTTACAACTCTTCATAAAGGTGTAACTCATCAAGCAACTTTTAGACCTCATATTATAATCATTGCAATTGAAAATTATGGAATTTTGAACAAGAAATCAATTGAAAGGATAAATAGACGCCAAGGT